GAATTAAATTACTTCATTGATATGATGACCAGTGAGTCTGAAATGAACCTTATTGGTGAATTAAATTACTTTCTTGGACTTCAAGTCAAACAAGAAAATGATCGCAATTTCATCTCTCAAACCAAATATGCCAAGAATTTAGTGAGAAATTTGGTCTTAAATGATCAGAAGCTGCTAGATCACCAATGAGTACGTGTGTCAAAATCCACAAAGACTCGAGTGACAAGGATGTTGACCAAACTTTTGTATAAGAGCATGATTAGAAGCCTACTCCATTTGACTACAAGTAGACCGGATATTGCCTTTGCAGTTGGGGTGTGTGCTCGATTTCAAAGTTGTCTGAATGAGTCACACTTATTGGCAGTTAAGAAGATTATCAAATATATGGGTGGAACTACTGATTTTGGGATGCAATATACGCATGACACCAACACCAACTTGGTTGGATACAATGATGTCGATTATGCTGGGTGCATTGATGATCGAAATAATACCTATGGGGGAGCTTTCTATATTGGGAACAATCTGGTGGCTAGGCACATCAAGAAGCAAAACTATGTCTCCTTGCCTACAACTGAGGCTGAATATGTTGATGCTGAAAGTTGTTGCACTCAATTAATGTGGATGAAGCAAATGCTAAGTGACTATGGTATCTCTCAATCCACCTTTCATGTTTATTGTGACAATATGAGTGCTATTGATATTTCCATGAACCCTGTCCAACATTCAAAAACCAAACATATTGATATAAGGCACTATTTCATTAAAGATCTTATGGAAGGTAAAATTCTTACCTTAACCTTTGTGACAACTGAAAAACAGCTAGCTGACATCTTCACTAAAACCCTAAATAATTGAAGGTACAAAGATCTTCGACAGTCTATTGGTCTTTGTGATATGAATTGAATAGGTTGTATAGACTTACTTCCAAGAGTTAAATATTTTGTGTAGTCTTTGTGCATGTTTTTGTGTAGACTATTCTCTTATTAGATAATCTCATTTTGCTCTGTGCATGCATCTCTTATTTGTCATACATTGTTAGTAATATGTGGATTAGCCTTGGATAATTTTTCGATGCGATGTCAAAGGTTCTCCCTATTCTTTCAGTTGGCCTCTGAAAAATCATTTTCTAATCATCCAAATCTTGAGGTGTTTTGGATTTAATATTGATTTGGTCCTTATTAAGTGGTAGTGTTTTTACTTACTCTATAATATGGACCATGCGTCAATTCTCTTCTTTTTTTGTCCTCTCTCCAAAATCAAAACAAAAAATTCAAATGGGAGAATATTTTATGAAATTGGTGTCTTCAAAAGAAATCGTATATTATCAATTGGGAAAATCCTTTCAGTTTGGCCTTCAATGCAATGTCATGTGTTGTGCTTCAAGATCCCCCTCCGTAGGTCATGAAACAAATTCTCTGAAAAATCAATTGGTGATCTATCAAAATATCACCTTCATTCATATGACCTTGGCATTTCTCAAATTGGTGCCTTACTCAAAGTTCTTCACCAAAGTTAGTTTTTCTTCCAAGGCTTATGCCTAACTTATTGCGAGTTTTGTCCATTGTTCATATTATTTAGGAAGTGTTGTTACTTAAGGTCAATGAATTATTAAAAGCTTGGTTAACTTTGAAAATGCTTTTGAGATTGGTTCTATGATTTCAAAATGGTTTTCCCCAATCCTATTCCCTTAGCTTGACACATCACAATTGCATTATGAGCAAGTATTCATCTCTGTATTACTGTATTTGTATACCCTTGAAGAGTTGTCTGTTGAGAATTGCATTGCATATTATTTTGTCATACACTTGTAGTATCAAGGCTTGTGCTTTAGCTGTAGTTTATTGGTGCAAAGATTCAACAGTTATCTTGGCCTCTATCATCTTAATGGGTTGTTTTCAGTTGTTTGGGTATATTTGTCTATGCTTATGCTCAAATTTGTATGTCAATGGACATCTTCATGTTCTGTTAAGTCACTGTCCCTTGTTAGAAAATTAAGTCATGATTTAGGTTTATGGGGGAGTGTGTTTCATGAAGAGCATCATTTTTGGAGGAGTTGGGTCACTTACCTGTTCTTACTTGTTGCTTCACTTTGCTTGGACATGCTCATATGATATATTGCTAATTCCTTATCCGTTGTGCTTTTGTTGATCTTGTATTGTATTTTGCTATAATTTAGAAAATTGCATGTGATATTCTTGCCTTATCTTTGTCTTACCATGACAAAATGTGGGAGAAACATTTCAGTTAATTGCAATTGTGCCTAATACCCTTGCAAGTTGGCCACCCATTCACTTGTTCTTGTCAAGATTTATTCGTTTTGCAGGATCCGTTCATTCGTTCATTTCTTGAGTGTGGGTGAGTGAGATTAGTTTTAGGCTTAGGGTATTTTGTCAAGGAATTCAAAGGGAAAGATTGTGAAGTCTAGACTTTTATGTTTGGATTTCTTTGTCAACATGGTAATTGTACCACATGCCCAATCTAGATTTAAGGCTTTTCTCTGTTTATGGGTTGTGTCTACTAGGAAGAAATGTTCAAGAATGTGGCATATCTCACTTCAAAAGGTTTATTCATGCATGTACATTTCACATTTACTTTCATGTTTCTTTCTGACTACCTTAGTTGTCCAGTCAGCCATGCACGCAGATTTCCAACAAACTAGGCACACAATTTAAGACATGCCCACATGGGCTAACTGACAACTTTTTGACGAATGTCTGTTTTTCACCCTTGATCTTTTCATTTTGTTTTGAAGCTTGACATATGTCATGTGGGTTGAAAAATGAACCAAAGCTTTTGGGGTTAAGATCCCTAGCTGGTTCCTTAGTTCATTTGGGGTTTTCAGATTATATTCCTAGAGAGAATGATTGAAAATGGCATTAAGGCCTCACCTTCCACTTTGTTCTTCATTTATGAAACTCTAGTTGCAAAACCTTCTTTCATGCATTAAACATCAAATCATTGAAGAATAGGGTTGCATTGTCTTTGGTTTTGCATTAAATTTGTGGTCAAGTGTTTCTAGTTGTAAATCTTTAAAACTGACTCAATTTAGGATTCTCGTTAGTTTCTTCCTTCAACAATTTGATTGGAGAAACTGACTGGACATTTGAATTCAGATTTGCATATCATTGCTATATCATCATATACATAGTTTGTGTGTTGGTCTCGGTTCCACAATGTGAAGAGTTTAGAAGGAGCTGTCATCTTGTGATGACTAAAGACAACATATTTTCGATGCCACAAGGTGAAGAGTTCAGGATAAGCTGCCACTTCATGAAAACCGAAGGAATCCATCTTGTGTAAGACAATGTTGCATAAAGGTAAAGTTGCTCTATAGACTAGGTCTAGGAATTGAACTTTACGTGGTACTTTGTAAGAATATTGATTATACTAGTGGATTGGAATCAGTGGACAGTCCCTGGTTTTTTAAATAGAGATGGGTTTTTCCAGCCAAAAATATCTTGTATTCAAAGTTATTTATATTGTGCCACGTATCTCACATACATATACATGCTATATGTATCACTTGAATATTTAATTGGTATGTGCTCACAATCATGCTCCCTTGACACATTAATAACTTGAAACGAACTGAAGTCTTACTGACTAGGATAGCTTTTAGTATTTGAAATTGGTTATTGAATCTTTGATTTATTAACTAACAAATCTATCTTAGTTGACTAGCGGGTTTGACTAGTCAATCTAGCAAATTATAATTTTTATTTACAAGATGTTCAGCCTGATACAAATTTCAAAAAGCAAGAGGTTGACATATTTCTCTAAAGTTGTTTGGGACAATACTTTATGTTTTAGAGTTAATACCACATCTTTGAGTTTGTAGTACACAATACCTCATCGAAATGGACGTAGTCTTGCTGAAGCCAAAATGTTTTTAGCTTCTCAAGTAGGTTTAGAACTTCTAGGCATGAAACCTTTGGTATTTATGTGTTGTCATTCTCAGTTTTAATTTCTCCTTCTTGGCTAATTGATGATTTCTTCTTCAGTTAAAGCATACATAACTTTGTGTACAATTTTGCACGAATATTTTCAGTTAGTTGACTTTGCATATTGACCTTGGGTGGCATGATTGTTTTGATAGAGGAAGAAGAAAAAATATTCATTTGAATTGGTTGAGATTGCATTGGGTGGATTATATGTATTTATAAAAGTTACTTAAAAGAGAAATGCTAAGGAGACTCTCTCAAAACTGAGCCTCTCCATAGACTCTGTCACCTCACAATTTAACGTAAATTTTTGTTCCATCATTATAAAACATTATGCCAAAAGTATGAGTTGACTGAAAGTTCATAAAAAAATTCACTTGTAAAAAAAATCTCTTTAGCGTTTCTCTGCTTAGAAGGAGAAGCATTAAAGAGGGCAATATACGCTCTAACATTAAAAGTTACTTATGACTGTTGTAAAATCGACGGTGTGTGCAGTGGAATAAACAAAACAAGACACAAAATTTACGAGGTTCCTCTACAGTCAATGTGACTGGAGTACGTCCTCGAGGCAGCGGTAGTGCTTCCATTATAATTTAGAAGAATAAGAGTACAAAATAACTCTTTCTCTATTATCCCCTATCCTCTTCCTCTCTTTTCTCTCTTCCTCTTTCTTCTTTCACAATCTCTTCCGTAAACCTCTTATTCATCTCTCATTCATTTTATAAGCAAATAGAACACTATTCACTTTACAAATTTTCCACAAATAAATAGTAAAAATACTGTACATAAAAAGTAACAGACTATTCATATGGATCATCCACATTATTCAGAATAATGACTATATAATAATTTTAGTGTTTATAGTTATCGAAGGTTTCCACATGAAAAGTATTTTTTTTAATAAATGAAAAAGATTCGAACCGGTCTGGGTCAGATCAGGGCTTCTGGTTGGACACAAATAGAAAGGTAGGCCAACTACACGGTACAGACTGACTATAAGCACAAAGCGAAGCAAAATCAAGCAGGCGAATCGCCATTTGAAGCTCCATGGTACGAGCCCTCTCTCTCCCCTCTCTGTCTCCCTTTCTCTCTCTCTTTCTTAGTATTTACAAAGCTTTTGCCCTGCTACTTCCCACGATTACCTGAAATCCGTGGTCCCTTCACAGCTGCTCTCCGAACGAGGCTCCAACCTGGTCGTCATCAACCCAGGTAATTAATCTCCCAGTTTTTTACAGCTCCATTCGAATTTTCAGCACAAACCCATCAAATTTTATTGTGCAAATTGCAAAACCCACCCCCAATTCAATTTTTAGTCCCTAATTTTGGTCCTTTCAATTGTGGGTTGTTGTTGTTCTGGGAGTTCAGGTTCTGCAAACATTAGAATTGGCCTTGCTTCGAAGGACACCCCTCTAAATATTCCCCATTGCATTGCGTGGCACACCACACGAGCACAGGAGAAATGTTCAAGACCAGGTTTCATGTTGTTCCGTAACTTTACGTTGTATTTGTTGTTTCGTGTGGTTTGGTCAGTCGTGTTTTCCAAGTTAAACTTCTCTGCGACATAATAATACTTGGGAGAAATCACTTATTCTTGATAAATATTGGATTGGTTACTTACATAGGTTTCGTGACTATGAGGACATGCTAGAAGATACATGGCACATGGAATTTCCCAGAAGACCTGAAATGTCAGATAGCTTGTTTCCCAACATGAACACCGGGTATCCAATGTGGGATGGCTACCCAGCTTTTTCAGCTAAACCAAAGAAAGAAGAAAAAGTTGGCCTTGCAAAAGTCATAACGAGTAGCATTCTTTCAACAGGTAGGTTTCTAGAGTGTCACCTCACCTACTAAGCTTCTCTGTCTGATACCTAAGCACCACTTGGTGGTTTGTTGACGGGACGTATAGACCTCCAAAGAAAATTGTTTTGCAGTATACTATTGGTGAGTTTGTCAACTAAGATATACAATGTGTTTCTGTATTTGCTTACTTCGTGTAGAAACGAAGAAATGACATATTGTATGTTTTAGGTTGGTAGAGTGGCTTCGACAAGAGGTCTTGTTCCTGCAGTGGAGGAAAGGTCAGTTCTAGTTAAACAAGCCTACTTGTTTGATTAATATTTGTGATTATGATTATGCTTATGCTTATGATGTTCTATGTGGGTTGTGCATTAAAGTCTTCACATTTTATGAAAAGAGAATCCCACATTGAGTAATTGGTTATGGGTTGAAAGCTTACATTCTATTGTGGTGTCAGAGCCAGGTTCGACTGCATGTGAATCCATACAACAAGTGTCTACGTCACCCAATATGTTGTCCACGTGTTTGGCTTTAGTGTCGCCACATGTGAGGGTGCATGGAGAGATGTCTCACATCGGAAAGTTAAAAGGAACCTTGAATGGGATCATAGGGAGTAGGGTTACTCCTCCCATTGCCAATTGTTTTGGGTGTAATCTCAAATTCCTTTAGAGAAAACCCACCAATGTGGACTTTGATTCTTTGGCCTAGAGTTTTGCTAAGTTAGACTTGTGGTTATGTTCATAAACTCATAGAGGTCGGCAAGCTTTAGTTCATAAGTCTCCATGCTTTGAAAAGTTGTTTGTTGTGTGCCCCTCTTTACATTGACCCATGTTGAGCAAAATTGTCACGAGAACAAATAATTCACTTGACACAATTTCACCCTCGTTCATTTTTACGAAGAGGGTTTTATTAATTTGAGTTCGACCCATTCTAGGCTATGCACCTATTAATTACAACCTTTCTTTTGGGAAAGGAATACCCTTTGATTCTAACATGAAAAATATGAAATTAGAGGATTGATGTGTTTGTTTGATTTTGCAACTGCATATAGGTCGAGCCCTAGATTGCCTACGTACCCTTTTAAGGGATCAAGTCACTCATAGTTCATGATTTTGATATTTGGATTTTTAGTGAGTGGATGACCCACTAAAAAGGATTTTGTGTTTGATCTATTTAGATGAATTTGGCTTAATGAACCAGGGTTTCGATTTTGCGGTTGCATCTAGAATGTGAGACTAGACTGCCTATGTATCCTTGATGGAATCAAATGGCGTAGTTCTGGAATGATCAATGAATGAATGACTCAAAGAAAGATTTTGGTGTTTTGGTTTTGACTTGGTGCCTTGTGCAGTTTCTGCTCATGCAAGCGAGGAGCGTTTGATATTTGATGCAGCTTCATGCCATTTAGTATTTGATACGGCTTTATGCCATTTGGTGTTTGATATGGCTTCATGCCATTTGAAATTCAACACAGCTTCATGCCATTTGAGACTTGTCGTGGCTTTGCACCATTTGGGATTTGATGCTGCTTCGTGCCATTTGGATTTGATGTGGCTTCATGCCATTTGAGATTTGTCGTGCCTTGGTGTCATTTGGGTCAACGCGGTAATTTAACGGGAGCTTGATCCATTTGTTTTGACGTTGCGCAAATCCACTGATTTGAGGTGGTAAGTCTATCGAGCTTTGTGCTTTGAGATGGTTTGCGTCTACGGTATTTGGAGTAATATGCATTCATGAATTGTCATGGTCGTCGTTGACTCCATGTTTACTTGCACCATATTCAGTCAACGGAGCCCACGTGAACGGCATTCCAAGTTTTGGAGGAGCTCTTATTTTCCTCCCTTGCTGCAGCCCTCAGTGCTTTTGAAACTCTACAAGTTTGACTTAAGAATCAAACATAATGATGACTAATATTGATGACTTAGTCATAATCAGGATTAATATTTAAGTCGCAAGAGTTACTAAGAAAGTAGGCACTGGACGCTTCTTTTTGGTTTACATCCACTTCTTGTATACTTGCCCTCCATCATGTGGTGCTTTCGGTGCTCAGCAGAAGCAAAGAGGAAAGCCTTGTCACTTGAACAGCTCTTTAATTTCAATGCCACGTAAGTGGCTTTGTTCATCACGTGCTATTTGCTTTCTTCATGGAACTTATGAAAGCTCCGGAGACTTATAAGAAAATTGCAGCGTGTTTTCGATGTTTGAAGCAGCAACACATTATAATATTTAGAGCAGCGATAACCAACTTCATAGAAATGATAGGAAAACAGAGAGTCCTTTGTGCAATAGATTTTTTTGGGAGCCTCCTTTTGACCTTTAAACAGACTTTTAGAACCCCATGTTATATTGGTTGCAGTGTTATGCGAGGAAGGAAGGGCTGCAGCGTGCGTTGAAGGAGAGTCCAAGAGAGGTAGAGAGAGAACTGCAGTGTGCTCACAGTCTCCGAATGTCACCAGTTTGTTGTTGCCTTTCCATTGTCTGCCGAGATGAGGGTGCACGCTGCGGTCTCTAGGCTCACAGATGGTGCTTTCGCTGGGCAGAGAGGAACGAGGAGTGGCCGTCTGGACCTTGGGGAGTCAACAGCGGCAGGGAGCGGAGAACGTCTCTCTTTCTTCTCTGCGTTTTCCGTGTCTGCTTGCCAACCGCATCTTTGCCTTCATGTTCCGCTGCCTTCTCTCCTTCTGCAACTGTTTCTTTGGCATCGTCTTCGTTGGCCCTTGGTGCATGCTTGATATCCAATGTTGCTTCGCCGCGGTTGCAAGTGTGGATTGTTGCATTGTCCCTGGGGAGGTTAACACTGGCGGTAGTGATTGCTGCAGTAGCCGTGCTGTCAGATCGGGAACGGCTCCGGGAATGGTGCAGGAGGATGTGAGCGAGGAAAGGGGAGAGCTCCCTGGTGGAGGATCCGAGAGAGAAGTGGTGCAGCCTTGGAAATTCAAGGTGGAAGGAGGAGGTTTATCCTTCTGATGGCTGCGATGGTGGAAGTTTCACCATTTTCTTTGCTTTGGTGAAAATAAGAAGAGCCAAGTCTTGTTTCTTTTCCTATGCAAAAAGCTGAACCGACACACCAAGACAAAGAACAAATTATAAACGGTAAATTTATACCCCTCTGTACTTTTGCTCCCTTTGCCGTGTCTTCCTTGCCTTGCCTTTTTTCCTTTGCCGTGAACCCCTCTGTACTCCTCTCTTCCTTTTTGTTGGTTTTCTCTTGTGCTTTTCTGTCGTCTCTCTTTTTTTTGGGTCTTGTTTTCTGTCCGTCGTCGTCTTCAAAGAGACCCCCTTTTTATAATTTTTTTCCTGACAGTTCTGATGAGAGAACGTGTGTGTGGGTAGTGCAATTGGAACCACCTCCAGTATTTTGCACGGTTTCAGAAAACCAACTTCTCACTTGGGTTTTGTTTCAACCGTGGAGCAACTGCTCCTTTTTTTTTTCCTTTATCCATTTATTTATTTATCTATCTATATTGAGTTTAACACTTTTTTTTGTTAAATGGGTCCTGATCTTCCATGATTTCAAATGAACTTGATCTCACATATATTGAGTTTTGTATTTTCTAACTGTAATGCATAAAACTATGGCAGAAATCCGTATAACGGAATTGTGAATTACGTAGGCAAATGGGTTTGGAAAATAAGAAAAAGCTTCAGCGGCCATCTGAGTTTGTGATTGGTCTGCAACTTTTTCAATTACATTAAGTTGTAAGCTAGCAAAGAAGAAGAACTATAATTGTGTGGACAAATTGGTTTAATGTAACTGATAGTACCAATTTGTGGTACTGTTTCATAGTATACTATCCTACTATTTGTGATAAGAGTGATTTTTCAATTACAGATGTGATAGAGTGAGTGGTACTGTATGTGATCACATATCTTTGTAGACTGTTTAATGATCAAAATTGTTCGTTGTAGTTTGAATTTGTCATAATTAAAATCAACTTCATTGTTCCACAAAGGTTTCTGGAATTTTGATTTTGGAAAAACGAAACTGAAAAGTTTCTCTTTGTTGTCATTAAGGTACAATAATAATTCGCCCCTGTTCTTTGAATATGTTTGTTAGTCTTGATCAGACATTGAACATACTAATTATACATGCCATGCAATTTTAATTGATTGCAAGCTTATTTGCTTTCTCTGATGTACTTTAAATTTCTCTCTTGGCTTCGTTTGCAATCTTTTGTGGATTAATTCTTCATATTCTCCCAAGTTTGTATCTGTTGGACGAAGAAATTGTTCTTTTATTTCTATCATATGTTTTAATTGTTATTATTTCAACGTATGTCCTTCCTGGCAGATTCTAACAGATGCTGCTATTCTCAAGCGTCAAAAGAAAGAAATTGGGGAGCTTTGAGCCAAAATTGCAGGTTAATTATAAATATAGATCGCCTACGTAAAATAGAGGAATTTAAATATTCCGCATGTTTTAGGAATCTCATTCAGAAAAGTTGGGCAGCGGACATCCTCAATCTGCAAAACACGTCATTGCAGGTTTGGAATATACACTTTGTGTTTATTGTAATTAGTTGAATGCAAGTGTATTCTGGGACATGCGTACTTTCTGTGCAGACCGAGTTAGAGAGGGAGCGTATGGCTTTGGAGTTGGAGGAGGAAAAAAAAGCCCAGGCTGAAAGAGAGAAGATGGTGTAACAGCAAGCTAAGAAAATTGAGAACCTGAGCTCAATGGTGTTGTTGCCAATGAACACAAAAATATGTGCTCGATAGTCTAATGTGCCGTTGCCAATGAGATAAGATTTAGTTAAACACTCTCTGTTGAATCGATAAATTTAGCACGTTACAGGTTAGGAGACGTGGTCGTGCCAACTCGAGAACTCAAGACATGCCTCCAATTTTGCCTTCACACGCTTCCTGGTTTTTATTTGGAGCAATTGGAGATGGCGACCCAAAATAATAACTAGCCAAGGTATAATTGAGTTTTCCATTTTATTAATTGTCATTTGCAGAGAGATAAATAGAGCAGTTATGTATGAGTGTCAGATTTCTTCGTCTACATTGAGGTTAGTCAAATGGTTGAAACAGTTTGTTGTTTTATTTGCATTTTACAACTTTCATTGAGGTTAGGTGTTTTGGAAAAGGTATTTTATGTGCATAAAGGCTATTAAGCTTAACAAATTGTACCCTCTTGCTAGCTTCATCAGCTTATGTTTGTGAGGCAAAAAGGAGATGACTTGGTTGTTTAATCAAGTTAATAATTTGATTAAAACAATCCATTGTGGCTACCTATTAACTGTTATTTGATTGAATTTGGTTTTCTCAAGATTCAGGATTATGTTCACTACACTCCGCGGTGAATTAGAGAAGTTTGATTGACTATGAGGCAGCGTGGGATTCTACTAAATTTTAGTTATGGCTCTCATTATTGACTACTTTCTCTTAATTTCTCTTTTGTAGAACAACATTGTTAATTGTCTTCATATGTTCAGATTGATTTCTTCTGCTTTCTGTTACACCATACGCTCAATAACAATGATGTAGCCTGGTTTGCTATACAAATACGTTTTTTTTGTTACACCATAGGTTCAAACATGAAGGTTAAAGACACATTACATTTAAATCTAACAATGTAAACGTTCGTTCATACAATAAAACCCGTAAAACTCACAATCAATCAATTTGTCTTTATCCATGTCTGCTTTCTCCTCATATTAATTCTATTTGTTTCTACTTCGATGAGTTTGTGTAATGCCTATCCCAAATATGTAGCTTGCGTAGTTGCATGTCATTTTCATTCAATGCATGTGAAAAGCATAAAATAAAATGTCCATGAATTGGCAAGTGACCCTTTACAACAATGGTGGAAATGAGTTGAGCTTTTACATGACAGTGTGCGTTCAATCCCCATCAGTGGAAATGAGTTTAGTCCTCAGCCCAATTTAATTTTTCTGATGAATTTTTTTACTTTAAAAAACACTTTCATTAGCTTTCCTTTTAAAAAATGCTATTAATTGAACATGAATAGAACTTTCACTCAATAGAATAGACGCCTTTATACGATTAAATTATCATTCTCCTTTTTGCATGGTTATACATGCAATTCCTTCAAATGGAGCGATTGGTACTGTTGATAGTTGTAAACCTTTATTCTTGTAACCGAAAATAACTGGGAAAGGGATCCTCTCTAGATCCCTCACATCTAATCCTCCTCATCAAACAATTCGGGTCTTTGAAATTTGATCCAATGGCTAAAAACAAGGGTCCACTCTAAAAGTTATAATAACTTTAGCCGCTTGTTCAAATTTCAAGAGCCCGGATTGTTTGGTAAGAATGATTAGATGGAAGGGATTGTTCAAATTTCAAGAGCCCGGATTGTTTGATAAGAATGATTAAGTAGAAAGGATCCGAGGATCCCTTTCCAAATAACTCGACCATAGTTTTTCATATATGGATTATATCATGTAAAATAGGTCTTGCAATCAAGATCAAATCCAATTTTTGTACCATGGAAAGGTGGAGCGGTAAGTCAAGCATCATCGAACTCGAGCCTTCAAGTGTAGGGGTGCCGATTGAACTACAAGCTTCATCCAACTTTTCCTTTTTTTTTTTTTTTTTTTTTTTTTGTTTCTGTCACGCCACGCATTAATTACCAGAGTTAATAGGTTAACTTGAGTTAGGAATGAAGAATTGGGCAATGGATCCCACATCGACGAGAACGCGAAGAGGCGAGGGAAGGACGTGGTATAAAGAAGAGGCGGTTGGTGGAAGTTGAATTTTAAAAGGGTCAGTTGGCTAAATATGCCACTCTCACCCTAGTTCGGTGAGTGCCGTATGGATATCAAGACATATGGCTGACATAATTTGTGGGACCTCATAGGGTTGGCTAGCCTTGGCCGACCCTCCTTTTTAAGTAACTCAAACCTTACTAAACATTGTAGTTCCTCATTTAATATTGACTTTGATTGGAGCGTATTCTGTTTGACGTGATCGACATTTATATCGATTGTTTTGCTACTTGTTTCAAAGGAATATTTTTGCTCACTTTCATTATGGTGACCTTCATCACCTATTTAAATCTCATCGAAGTGTATAGATACAATTTAAATTGATTCAACGGTGATAAATTTTGTGGTTAACATTACCACTATCATGAGTAAAAATGCATAATTGTTTGAATTGGTAATTATAGCGTGCACTAGTTTTTAGGTTAAATTTTACACTTATTTACATCAGTGACCCCTGAAAGTCAACTTTTCTCTCAGTTTACACTATGATATTCAAATTACTTAACTACCTAAGTGTTTCCTATATGTCTTACTTTATCTGGATTTGGATCCCATTATATCCAAATTGTGGGGATCCTAGAGATCCTTACATCTTAGTCATTCATTGTACATCGTACGGTCAAAAATCATTTGAATTTTATTATTTAAAATTAAACACAAATTGTACCTAATGAAAACTAGCGACACAATGTACGATGAACGATTAGGATGTAAGGATCTCTAGGATCCCCACAAAGATGATTCGGAGAGGATCCTCATCCACTTTATCTCGTGTTGTTAAGTTAGTTAAGATCCCAATCAAAATGTTGACATGGCGTTCATAAGTGTTTTCTTACTTTAAATTCCAATAACACTACTATAAAACTACTCATTAGTGGCATTCCTAAAAGCGACAAGAAAAGCATATTCTTGTCAGATATTAAGTAAAATCCGACAAAAAATGGCTGCAATGGCAGATAAGAGAATCGACAGAATTGCTGGCATTAGGAAAAGGCTTTACTGTCAGTTATGACTCTAAAACCGACAAGAAAATAGTGTCAAATACAAGTGACATTAACACTCCAGACAGTTATAGGTGATATTAATTGTTGAGAAATCCCGTCGAATATAGAGACAATGTTGTCACGTATAACCGACATAATAAAAAAAAAAACCAAACAAAAATGCTCCTTTATCTGACACCCATGCTCATTTTTTTTAAATAAAATAAAATCCATTTCGGACAAAAATGCTTCCATTGGTAATGTTCTTCAACAATATATCTCATTATACAAGGTGTTTATACAACGAAATTAAAAAAAAAAAAAAAAAAACATAATGATGACTTTTTGTTTTTCCTATCTTCTTTCCCTTTCTTCTTTTCTTCCCCTTCTTCTGTCAGTGCTACCTTTCTCCTTTCCCCTTCCCCTACCTTTCTCCTTTCCCTTCCCCTTTCTCCTCTTTTCCCCTTCTTCTTTCAATGCTTTTCACTGTAGAACAACAGTCCATCACATGAGAAAACATGAATTAACAAAATCTCAATAGCAATTGATGCCAAAAACATCACTCAATATTAACAAATTAGATAAAATAAATATGGTTTAAGCAAATCAAGGTATGAGAAATCTGATAATTAGCAAATTAGTCATAAAAATAGATTGAATTGAACAAAAAGTACAAAACCATAATAAAATTAGGGAACTACAAATTTTTACTTAACAAATTGAAACAAAATCCTTCACCAACTATCTCAGATAAGCAAAATCCCTTACACGCAATAAAAAATGGGAGCGGGAAAGTAAGACATTTATGGTGTTTGGCGTAAATCCTGTGTTGTCGTACTAGAGAGAGAAGACAAGGAGATGAGATCGGCGACTGTCATGGAGAGAGTGATGGAGGAACCGGATGGAGTGGATAACAAAAATGCATGGTAAGTAGATGAAATGAAAAGAAGAAAGGGAAAAGGAGAAGGGGAGGTGAGAAGAAGAAGGAAAGAAGGAGGAGAGGAGAAGGAAAGGGGGAAGGAATGCAGTGGGAAGGAGAAGAAATTGGGGAAGGGAGAAGACAGCGGAAGAGAAGGGGGTTTTATTATGTAGAATTGGTAGTATTGTCGTTTGAAATCAACAACAATCTTTTTCGTATAAAAAATATAAAAAATTTATCCGACACACTTTCGTATTGTCGTCGGATAGAACCAACAACACTCTTTTCAATGTAAAGTATGGTGGGAAATATCCCCCCAAAATTCCCTCCCAAAGTTTGCCAAGATTTAAAAGAAATAATAATAATATTTGTGTCGGCTATAACGGCCAGAGTTAGTATAAAAAATTTGAAAATAATATAACATAATCTGATACATTACTTACTCAAGTCAAATATATCCACCATAATTGGTTAAAATTATAGATAAATCTAGTGAAGTTAAGAGTTCGCTTCATTATTCTTGTCGGAAAGTAGTGAACTAATGTCTAATATAAGCGACATTAGTACTTTATTATCCGACATTATTTAAACATGTTGTCGGAAATATTTTATTCGACAATAATAGTACAAAACCGCCACCACTCTCTGACAGATTAAGCCAATTTTGTAGTAGTGTAATATCATTTAGTAAAAAAAAAAAAAATAGAATACAACAAAAATTAGAAAGAATAAAACACAAAAAAGCTTTTCTTCCCGACCATGACCTCCCTTTTATTAACGAAAATTTTAACACAATTCAATGATAAATTTGGAATGAAACACATAATAGACACTTGGAGGGATAAAGTGAGAAGTTTTGAATTTCATAAAGCAAATTAAGAGGAAAGTTGAGTTTTAGAAGAGTTTTAGAGTAAATAAGCCTATTTTTAACAAGTTTAATAATAATTTATTTTCCCTCTATCTTTTTCTCCTTATAAAAAATTTTCATTTGATTAAAAAAATAGACTACACGGATAAAAACATAAAGTAGCTAGTTGCACAAAAACATTGACAAAAAAAAAAAAAAAAAAAAAATTAGGATAAAGAATGAGCAAAAATACATATTAAAAGTCTCCAACCAACTAGCTTTCTTACAGTCAAACACAAATTGATTCGCACATTTGAATCACTGAAATCATCAAATTTCAATTTAAACCTATTAAGTTTCATATTATTCTCTAAGTGCCCCCACTAAATCGGAGGAAATGACAAACTCAAAGCTTTGCCTTCGGAGTAGCAATCGCCACTCCAAGAACTCCGGACAACTCCGGATACAAGCTCTTCCTGATCTCCGCATAAATGTCGCCGTTCCACCTCCTCTTCCCCAAATCCTCCCCCAGGCGCATCGTAGCCTCCACCGTGCTCTCCGCGCTTTCGTGTGCTGACTCCACAATCCCCATATTCACCGCCTCGTCTCCCTTCACCTTCATCCCCTTAGCATCACGTCCCTCAGACCCGATACCGAGCCGATTTTCAACCGGAACGCCGCCATGTACAACACGCCTCTGTCGCGCCTCATGAGGAAGTAATCGTGGCTCAGGCGAGGTCAAGGCCATTGGATAAGAACTTGCCTTGGGCAGTGGTGATGAGGACGGAGCCCCGCGTGGCTTGGGAATTGGCTTCGGCGAGGGCAGAGAGGAGGGAGTCGATGATTGGGAGGCCTAAGCAGTGGTCATCGTCGCTGGTGAGGGTTAGGAAGAAGAGATCGCCGCGCTTCTCTAATGTGCACATTGCTTTGTTGTAGCTGAGTCCTTGGGGATGTGTGTTTGGTTTTCTCGTTATCTTTTTCGATGACTTTTTTAATTTGTTTTACGAGTTTGTAATCGGGTCACAAACTCACAATTATAAATACAAGCAGATTTGATCTGATTCGAACCCGGTTTAATATGATCATAAGACCGGGAAAATTTCACCATAGATGTTTTTGCATGGTTAATCCTTAAATCTTCAAAGACATTAACTTTGTAAAATCATTCACTTAAATTATCGTTATTACATACATGTAAATCGAGTATGGAACGTCTTCCTCTTTGTCGTGGCAACTGCTCGAGAGGACTAACTCAATTTTCAAAACATTATTGAAAAAGAAAATTCAATTTACTCGAAACGACGACGTGCGCCCACATAGAAAATAATGCAATCTTGGGGGTAACTTGAAATTTTTACTCAGCCAGCAACCGTCGACCTCCCGTGCTTTGGCGCCAAAATGTTGAAAACCAAAGGTATATACGCCCAAAAAAAACCCAAAGCGGTTAAAAAGCCGGGAAATTTAACCGCGAAATTTAGACTTGGTGAAGGTTAAAACAAAAAACTTGGTTTCGCGCCAAAATCAAATCCCAATATAAACGCAGAAGGCGCAGATCCCCCTCTTTGATTTCCCTCCTTTTCCTCTCCACTTCCTCAAAATCTCCCTTCAATTTCCCGAAATCCTAATCCTAATTTCCGTCTTCTGCCTCCAGATCCATGTCTATTATCGCAGACTTGGACGTCGGACATGCAGAGGAGCAAGACAACTCCGAAATTCCGATGGGAATTCCGATGGGGGTGATGGTGAAGCGGACGAATCCCGGCGCGGGGGCTCGTATCTCGACCGTGGTTAAGGAAGAGGTGTCCGAGGAGACGGATGAGACCGAAAGGCTTCGCGGGTCGAAGCCTCAAATCTCGGTTAAGGAAGAAGTTCCTGATAGTCGAGAGAGTTTGACTCTGGTCAAGCAGGAGCCCTCTGATGTTCCTGAAAGCCGGGAACTTGTTCCGATTCGGGTCAAGGCCGAGCCCATTGAGGAGTTGGAGGAGGCGGAGTCTCTGAGCTTAGTGCCGAGCCAGGTTCCTGAGAGTCAAGAGGGTTTGGTCCTAAATGTGGAACCCATTACAACCCTGGTCATGCTGGAGGCCTCTGAGGAGTCAGGTGAAGCTGAAAAGCTTCACAGAGCTAAGCATGAGAGCCTGTTGAAGAAGGAAGAGAGGCAGATTCGACAGGAAGAGAATGTAAAGAAAATTCGCTCAGTTTTGGGGCTGGGGCCTGAGATACGCGACCTTGATATTCTCCTAGTGCTCGCTAGATGCGGTGACAAACCAGAAGCCGCCATCAATTGCATTCTCGAAAACCCGATCTCTTGGCGCAAGGGGCCGGAGCCTAAGAGCCAGGTGAAGAAGGAAGCTCCTGATTGTCAAGTGATTTCAGTGCAACAGACGAGACCTGAGAATTTGGAGGACGCAGATTTCCCTGTGGAGCAGGATTGGCTTATGGTGGGAAGGACGTTTATCACTGCACTTTCAACTTCGAAAGGCAGGAAATTGGTTGATAATGAGATTGTTCATTTCACTTTTCCGTGTGCAAACTCAAGCTACAAAACCCAATGGATTGTTCGATTCTCGACCAAACGATTTGGAGAGGTATATCAATGTCCCTCCTTGTTGCTTCATTGTGTTCTGTTTAACAAAATATGTTATCTTGTTGTATGTTTGATACGATTAATGAATGACGTGTTCTATATACGATTAATTTTATAGATTGGTCGGCTTCCCATGGAATGGGCCAAGACTGTTATTCCGCTTGTAAGTTCTGGTAAGGTTAGAGTTCGTGGGCGTTGTATAGCTGCACCGAGTGTCCTTTCTATGATGCAAGAGGTTGTATTGTATGTAAGGTAGAGGTCCTATCCAGCTGTTCTCACATTCCTTGGAATTATCTTACTCAGTTTTGTGTGTGCTAATTGTGTTCAATTGTAATACTTTTACAGTTTTTATATTCACCATTCCATTTTTACGGAGGGTGACCACTCGTCATGGAGGCTAGATGTTTCCCCTGTCATTAATACTTCATTGTATCCTCTCCTCACTTTGTTCAAATTGCTGAAAATTCGGCCATATCAAAAGGTAGTACCTATTTGTCCTGTGGTAATGTTAGCATTCGACATATACAAGTCCACGCATTAGAAACTTTGTTCTTTGTTGGTATGTGATGTACTGATATGTGCTTTGTATTTTGCTTCATTCAGGCTGAATTCACCCCAGAAGATCTTGATTCCCGAAAACGTCTATTGAATATTGAAGTATGTCTAACCATTCTTTTGTTCATTTGCATTGATCTCAAGTGTTTGAAAATTGGATTTGCTGAATCTCCACTTATCCATATGATCTTTTCATGTGTGTTTATTACTAAATGTTTTTGGGAGTTTGTGACCAAGAAACTATTGTACCAACTACCAGATGAAAGTTTAGATTGTGCTTTGATTATACTTGAACTCATTAACTGAGTGAGGTCTTTGCAAGAATTCGAACCCTTGGTAAAAGCAAATCGAGAATTGGTTCTTATGCCATTTCTTCAGTGAGAGTGCTATTCAGTGGTGCTATGATTTATTTAATTTTTTGGGTAAAGTTTCAGTGTGCTAATTGAATTCCAATGAAAGTGCTTTGATGAGGACAATTAAATATTTCAATATAAGGATTTGTCTTATACACATCTTCATTGCTAAATTACCATGGATAATTTGACATTGAATAACATAGACATGTTTGGTTCAAAACAGCGTATTGAAGATGGGGCTGCACCAGTGTTACCCTTAGTGAAACGAAGAAAGGGCACCACCCAACAGCCTTCAGAAGAAAGCAAAGATGAACAAGTCGTTACAGAATCATCTCTAAATAAACTTGTTGGTGCAGCAGATGTATATGACTTGGAGGTAGGTACTTGGAATGCTTATATTGTTCAAAATTCGGAGTAACTATGGTTTTTGTTTTTGATGTCATCAATACACTCTCTCCTCACCCCCTGGTCTCTCTCTCTCTCTCTCTCTCTCAATTTTGTAGGAGATGGAACCGTCAAGTACTCTCACGTGTGATCTGAAGCCATACCAGAAGCAAGCTCTCTACTGGATGTCTGAGTTAGAGAAGGGAATTGATGTTGAGAAGGCAGCACAAACCCTTCATCCTTGCTGGGCAGCCTATCATATTTGTGATGAGTATGTTGCCAAATCAATATGGGAGAAGCAAGAACTAACTTGTATTTTATTTTCTATTTTCGTTGTCATAACATATGGTGCGTCCATAGAATCAAATCAAATAGCTTAAGCAGTCTAACTTAGCTAAACATGCCATCTTTCAGGAGGGTTTCTTCAGTCTATGTGAACATATTCACAGGGGAGGCAACCACAAAACTTCCAACTGCAACGCTCATGGCAAGAGGAGGAGTGGGTTTCTTTATCTTCCCTCTTGTCCATATTTTTTTTAATTTGCTCTAGTACATGTTCGGTTTCCCTTTTTTCTCTGGTTATTATCATGTAAATCTTATCTCTAACTTAAAAGGGTGTTTTTATAGATCCTAGCAGATGCAATGGGACTTGGGAAGACTGTGATGACAATTGCTCTAATACTTGCAAGACCAGTCCGAAAAAGCTCTGAAAGTACTGCGATTACAAAAAGGAGGAGGATAGATACAGATACAAGCACCCCCTTGAAACCAAGGGGGGGCACTCTTGTTGTCTGTCCCATGTCTTTGTTAAGCCAGTGGAAGGTGAATCTTCTGTTTTGTATTGAATAGTGTTTTGTTCAAAGAAGTTTTTTGTCTGAATTTAGGCATAAAATTAATGGTCCAGGAAGAAGGTGATCATATCTTAATTTATTTCCTAGTAGTTTGAACTACTTTGGAAGATATCTTATCAGTTCTTTCAATGTTTCAGGATGAGCTCGAAACCCATTCAGAGTCTGGAAGTATTTCTATTTTTGTCCACTATGGTGGGTGCAGAACCACTGACCCCAAAACAATCTCGGCACAAGATGTTGTCTTGACAACGTATGGTGTGTTGGCTGCATCTTATAAAAGTGTAAGGAAAAAAATACCTTCTGTTTAAAGCAACTCTTAGCACTTTTTTTGTTTGCTAAAATCAACTAAAACAAATTTATTCATCTTCTTGTTATATGGATGCTTTAATTTTCCTTCAGGATAAGGAGAACAGTATTTTCCATCAGGTTGACTGGTATAGGGTGGTGCTTGATGAAGCACATACCATTAAGGCTTCAAGAACCCAAGCAGCTCAGGCTGCTTTTGCCTTGTCCTCGCATTGTCGATGGTGCTTGACAGGAACCCCTATTCAGGTATGCATCCTGATTTCATACCTGATAGATATGCGAGTATGCATGATAGAAACCACAACGGCTAACAAAGCATAAATGGAGTGTACAGCACTGCTCTTTTAACAGTACCTGTCTTCATTTCTTTTGGTGCATTTTTGGAGACTATAACTAGTTGTTTCTTATAGAGCTTAGGGGAGGGGTTATTCATTTGTTCTAACATTATTTGTGAAATCCATTGCTGCAGAACAATTTGGAAGACCTCTACAGCCTCTTATGCTTCTTGCATGTCGAACCGTGGTGTAACTGGTCATGGTATGAATTTTAAAATATTGCTATTGTATTGCAGTTATAACAACTAATATGGTATTATCTACATCTAGGTGGAGTAAGTTAATTCAAAAACCATATGAGAATGGTGATCCAAGAGGACTGAGATTGATCAAGGCTATTTTGAGGTCACTAATGCTAAGAAGAACAAAGGAGACAACAGATAAAAAAGGAAGGTAAAGTACTTTTTGGATTCCTTTAAACCCTCTCTCTCTCTCTCTCACACACACACACAGAGACATAATCTCTTTGGAGCCTTTAACATTTGTTGCTTGTGGCTCAGGCCCATACTTGTTCTCCCTCCAGTCGACATTCAAACCATCAAGTGTGAACAGTCGGATGCTGAACGCTACTTCTACGATGCCCTTTTTAAGAGATCAAAAGTAAGTTTTCTCGACTCTAAAAGGATATCTTGTTGCCTAGTTATTATTGATAGCTCTTCAGTAGTGATTATATCATCCATGGTGCTTAGTGCTTACCATCTTTTATGCAAAATATGCAGTTCCAGTTTGATCAATTTGTAGCGCAAGGCAAGGTTCTTCACAACTATGCAAATATCCTTGAGCTGCTACTTCGATTGAGGCAGTGTTGCAATCACCCGTATCTTGTTATGAGGTGGGAATGGATTTGCGATTATTTCTAACTACTTAATAACCAATGTTGTTTCCTTGTTCATTGTATTGATCTGCTTCTAATAAAATCTTGTTTGGATGTATGCAGTAGCGCTGATTCACAAAAGATAAAAAGTCGGAATGATCCACAAAAGTTTGCGGACTTTGAAAATCTTGCCAGAAAATTCCTTGAAGCTAGTCATGATTCTTCCAGTTCAAAGCAGATTGTCCCCGCTCAAGCCTACGTTGAAGAGGTTGTGGAGAGTATCCGTCGTGGTGAACACAAAGAGTGTCCCATATGCTTGGAATTTGCAGATGATCCTGTACTTACACCATGCGCACACAAGATGTGCAGAGAGTGTCTTCTCTCAAGCTGGCAGACACCAGCTACTGGTCGATGCCCAATATGTCGGCAATGGCTTGCAAACAGTGACCTTATTACCTGCCCATCAGAAAGCCGTTTCCAGGTTACCGATGAGGAAAACTGGACAGAATCTTCCAAGGTTGCAAAGCTATTGGATTTCTTGGAACGTATTCTTCGGTCAGGTTCTGGTGCAAAGAGCATTGTGTTCAGTCAGTGGACTACTTTTTTGGATCTCCTGGAGTCCCCTATGAAGAAAAGAGGAATTGGATTTCTGAGGTTTGATGGAAAGCTGTCTCAGACACAGAGGGAGAGGGTTTTAAACGAGTTCAACGACACCAGGGGGAAAATGGTAAGCTGCAAGAGTCACGTTCTCTTCCATAGCTGTTATAATTTGGCAGCGATCTATTCATCCCTAACATTCTGCAAATGTGTTACAAATACTCAGGTGTTGCTGACGTCCTTGAAAACGGGTGGTGTTGGTCTAAATTTAACTGCAGCATCTAATGTCTTTATAATGGTACTTGCCAATCTTTATATCTATAATTTGCATGTTTCTGGTAAATTAATCCTTTCATCCCTCGCGTCAAAAACATCGTCTTCCTCCTTTTTGCAGGATCCGTGGTGGAATCCTGCTGTAGAGGAGCAAGCGATAATGCGAATTCATCGCATTGGCCAAAAGCAAACTGTTGTAGTCAGAAGATTTATTGTCAAGGTGATCTTTCACTAGTTTACAAGTTTTTTTTGCTTGAAATTGAATGATGTCTTTCCTTTAGTGAGTTGAACAAGCAACTCTTGCTTTGCTGACTTCCTTTGATTTGATCTACTTTTCTTGCGTCTCACGTTTTCCATTCCAAACTCAATTGATCACGAAACACGGACAACTGAGAAGCTCAAAATGATTTTGCTTTGCGCGTCGCAGGACACGGTGGAGGAGCGAATGCAACAAGTTCAGGCGAGGAAGCAGAGAATGATTGCCGGAGCTCTCACTGACGAGGAAGTTCGTTCCGCCAGAATTGAGGAGCTCAAAATGCTTTTCACCTAAGTCATTATATAGCTTTCCAAAAAGAGAGTTTGCATTTGGGGCTTTTCTGTGTAGTAGTTGGTCTAAAAAGTCCCCAATTTTGTCAATCATGGGGCCTTCTCTCTTTCTATTTATATTTTTGGTCCAAACACTCGAGCAAATTCATCTGAAATTATGCTAATATTTTGAAAATAATGTTTATATTCTTTCATCGTTATCGCACGGTACATTATTACCTAGTGTTTTATGTCAATGATACAAAAATATATGTTTTTACTTTATTGGTACATAAAGTTGCTGTGGTAGTGCACTTGCGGTATGTGTTTTGTTATGATTTTGACTAGTTTGGCAGCTATCATGTGTAATTTGCCCAAATGCTAGAGGACAATAGAGACAACACGATAAAGTTCGGGCCAGCGAGCAAAGCAACGGTGCATTTCGTTTGCGCTGATCAAGGCTTACAACTGCCCACGTAACCCTCATCTGAGCCGTTGGTCAGAGACGGTTGATAGGTGGAGATGTGGTTTTCAACGTCGTGCTTTTTGATGTCGTCCAACCAAATAATAATAATAATAACAAAAAAACAAAAAACCAAAAAAAAGGTCAAAAACAAGGGGAACAAAAATGCAAAACTGCAAGCGTTCCATGTATTCCCGAAAAAGGTCGGTTGTGGGCCACCCCGCAGTCTGAATTGGTAACGTTAAATATTATCTTTTTTTTTTTTTTTTTTTGGGAAACTCGTTAAATATTATCTTAAGAAAAAGTGTTTAACTCGGTCGCTCTCCCTTTCGGTTAGGGAGGTTTGTTGGCTAGGCTCGAGCTGCCTATCGCTTTTCGGCTCGGCTTTAGATTTTATTTATTTATTTACATTAATGTTAATTGCTATTTAGTATTACGATTTACTTGTATTCTCTTTACTTGTAAGTGAAAAATCTTATATTTGATTTTCGTTAAAGGTCAATTTAAATCACATTATTATTAGCTTATTATGAGGCTTAGCCATTCTCTCACCTTTTTCGTATTAATAATATCATTTGTTAAAAAAAAAAATTTGTTAGTGTTAATGAACTTTGTTTCCAAGTAATAGAATAATTGGGAGTGGAAATTCGAACAGATAAGGTTAGTGTAGCGTAAAAGCTTTTAATTAATTAAAGGATTGTGTACTTAAAACACTCAAACTTTTTAGCGTCATTTTCAAATTATTCTCAATATTTTTAAACATTTCAAATAAATATCTAATCAATTGAAAAGCGATTTCATTAAGCACTAGTTAACTTTTTCTGTCAAATGTACATGTGGTAACAATGGGTTCCACTTTTTAGCTTATATGGACATTGAAATAATGATAACAATAATTTCAAAAAAGAAATAAAGATAAAAAAATAAAAACAAATAAACAAATTAGCAAATAAAATGGAAAACCAAAATAAAGATCAAGAAATATCAAGCCCCTACCACCTCCAAACTCAACCTACGACCACTGAAACCCCATCCCAACCTTTATATTGAAAACCCACCAAATAGATTAAAATTAGCTATCTCAAAATCTAATTTCGAACATTGATTATATAATATAGAACTCAATGATTAAAGAGTATTGAACTGAATTGAACATGTATCCAAATTGAAATTGCATCAGGAGGGTAATCTCCTAACAAATAAGAGGGTTAAGAATTCAGAGAGGATTTCAAGGAGCTTGTTTCTGCTCATGTGATTTCCTCGTTTGTCGATTCTCGGCTTGTAAACTTTCCAGTTCTTCATTGTGGGCGGTGAAGGTGGTCGCTGCCGCATGGCAGTCATACAATTTCAGCAACCTCCACGACCTTATTCTGGGTGTTGATGACTTGAGTTGTAAGGTGGATTTAATTTGAGAACTGAAAATTAAATTGAAAATTGAATTGGATTTTTAAATTGGAACCTATTCATCCCCTCTAGGTTAAACAAGTACCATCCTAGAACTTTCACAATTGATTTCTCATTTGGTTACAAAATGTACTTTTCACAATATTTAGAGCAATAAAGGCTCCCTCTAGTGAAGTAGGAGCAAACACTAGAACCAAAGTTAATGTAATTTACAAATACACATGACTATATGCTTTGTTCCACCCCGTCTCCACTATTTTTTTTTTTTTTTTGCAAGACTACCAATTCATTTCATTTGAGAAAATTGACTACTCAGACACATATCAAGAATATAACATCTAAGTTAATATTTAAGTGCCAAGAGTTGACAAGTAGAATATTCATTCAGATAAAATTGAGCAAAACAAATTAGATCTTGTTAAAGAGCTCCTCATGATACCGCCATAGTGGTAATGTACTGAAAACACAGAATGACATACCGCGGGTCACTTCACTTCGGTAAAATACTTGTATTGAAAAAGTTACCAACTTGAAAATAAAACTTTTCTTCTCTTATACAACGACACGTGTTCCGGAAAGAATGAAAAATTTCTCCATCGTCGGGGCTTACAGGAGCCAAAGCCGCGTGCCAACCATACGCCTCTCTCTCTCTCTCGCATATATATATTCACACACGCACCAGCACTTCCTTCCCCAGTTCCACCTGTTGCACACCAAATCCCAAATCCTTCACTCTTTCTCCCTCTCCTCCGAGATCTCATCAAAATCCAATCATATATCAATGGCAGAAGCATCGCGATCGAGCTCCGGCAACCGACGCCAGCCCAGCCGCCTCCAGCGGCGAGCCCCGCCCCCTTCTTCCTTGCAAATAAACCGCGTCACCGATTGGAACGTCGCCATCCCCCTCCTCTCCCCTCTCGTCTCCCCCGATCAACCAATCGAGGCCAAATCTCGAGACGACACGCGGCAGCACCAGCGCCAGCAGAAGGAGCTCCCGCGCCATCATCAGCAGGGCGCGGAGGCGGACAAATCGGCTCAGGTGGCGGTGTTCAAGAAGTGGCAGCACCCGGCGGCTCCGTTTTGCTACGACACGGCTCAGATGGTCCCGCCTTTCGTTCAGTTTCGTTAGTTAGCCGGATTCAATCCGGTTTTTTCCTCAAGGGTTCTGAGGGAATTTTAAATATGTGAAAAGACTCTGTAGATCTCATCTAACGGTGTATGCGCGTTCATCTTAGTTAATTCGTGATCAAACATGCACCTGATTTTGCCAACTGTATCATACATATTTCCCTATTAAAATTATTAAGTCCAGCTTGGGCTCTTCTGTGGATTAACGTTATGGCTCGTTTATTAATCTGTAATTAAAATGTGATGAATTTTGAACGAGTCATAGCGTTAATCTTTTTTACTCCTTGTTCAAAATTCCTCGCTTTTTATTACAGATTTCAAATTAGTATACGAGTCATTGGGACTCCTCGTCTTATTATTTCTGATTAATAAGACGTTTGGTAAAATTTTCTAAATTGGAGGCAGGATTAGTGGTTGGGGAAAAAGATCATGGGATGCCACTTTTGTGGTGGAAGGGTTGATTTGGAGAATCATTGGATCCAACGGTCATGATTCAGTCAAAGAGTTCCATTGTGTAGCAGTTGGTCAGTCTCCACCGTCAGCATAAAGCATGAGTTATCCCAAAAGTTGTCTATTCCTTTTTGGTGTCAAAAAATTGTCCAATTTGGTATATTTTACTTGATCAACAACACAAACAAAACAAAATTCGGGTCATATTTTTGTGTCTTTTTGCGTCATATAAAATTGGGAAATGTCAGGCAACGTTTTTGAATGGCGTTGCAAACAACGAAACCAACACAATCAAACAATTTATTTAACCCTAGGGAATAACGATGGTTCAATAATAATCCAACTAAACCATTACGGAGTGCCTTAATGGTCGAAAACAAATTTTAGACTTGTATTTTACACGGTACATCTTGAATTCGATTCCTAACACTAGTGAATCGCATAATGATGGCTAGGGAGAGGCTAAAAGCCTCTATAAGTCTTTTCTCCCCCCCAAAACAGTGGACTACCGTGGCGAAGTCACCAGCTGATCATTTTTAAATAATAATAATAATAATCCAACTAATGTTTAGTAGGCAAATTATTACGTAATTAATGTGCTTATTTCGGTGGCACATTACTTGATTTGTAAATTTAATTTAAAAAATTAGTTAACCTAACATTACACCTAACGCATAATATAACACGGATTTCTTATGATTTTCCCAGATAAAGAGGCAAATTACTTGATAAGAGTGTGTTGTCAGTGATTTTAAGTGTTCAAGTTCAACGAATTATTTGATGCGATTGTTTTGTGAGTGATTGCAAATATTTAAATTATCTTGAAATTATGATATTGTTTTGCGAATGTTTCATTACTCAAAAGCAATTGATTGTTGTTGTGCTTGATTTTTTTAAGTCATGATATTTGGTATTGCAGACCCATAATACAATAATTACATTTTCAAATCATCTATGATGGGTTAGTGACCAACTTGACCAAGAAATTAATCCTTATTATTTGACAAGAAATTAAAGTGAGATCACTATGGAGCGACTGTTTTAAAGTGTCAGTATGGACTAATTATTTTAAAAATTGTAGTTGTTATGACACTCTAAAACAATCACTCCATATTGATAGTTAGGTTGATTTGCAATCCTTTTCTGATTAAGATGAAAGTAAAAAGATATAAGTTTTATGATCGGTGAAGTGTTCAATATTTTCTTATGGAACCAAAAGAACTAGTCTTATTTGCTTCGAAGTGGTACTCAAACACACATTTGTTTCATAGGTCAAAAAAGAGAGAAAAAAACACCACTAATTTGTTTCTTTAGAACAATGGAGATGCGACGTTCGAACTTAGATCTTCATCTAAAGTCAAGGAGAGAAACTACTACCACTAGACTAAGAGCGGAACAACTATTAAATAAGAAATATAAGAAAAGAATAATTTTGGTTGAATGGTATTCACCTGACTAAAGAAAAAGAAGTGTTATTTAATTTATTTTGCATCGAATTTAATTTCAAAGTGTGTAACACATGAAGAAGCAACTTAATAAGATGGGGCATATGTGCAAATGAAGAAAATACATGGTCAAAAGGAAGAAAATATTCCAATAGAAGAAGGGATTCCTACTCTTTGGACCGCATAATAACAGAAAAATACATATTCAGTCAAATATTCCATGCTTTTATTGTCTGATTTTATTTGGATTTGTCATCAATTTAATAAAATGAGTGGAGGAAGAGGTGTGACTGACTGTGAGTGATTGTGGCCTTCCGTTATCTTATAAGAACCCGTGAGATGAGATAGACCACATCAAATTCATTACAAGGTCTCTCTACCACTGACGCCCAATGCATGCAAAGCACCACCTCCAATATTCAATTAGGAAGATTCAGTGTTTTTTGATTCGAAGTTACATTTATCCTTTTTTTCGTTTATTTTAAATTCATACGTCTTTTAATTTCTTTAATTACTTAGAACGAGGTAAGCACAGAGGCGACATTTTGTTGACTTGGAGTCCAAATTCGTGCAATGTGGTAAAAAGAAATTAAAAGAAAGAAATTTTTTTTAAGAAAACTATTACTGACATTCCAAAAATCTAATTGTGTACTCCTAAAAGTATTTTTTTTTCTTTCTAAACACATCCTTGTTAATTTTGGCATTGATCTTCTTCAACTCATTCGATCCAACGGCTGGAAATGAAGAGCACACACGTAAATTTTGAAGTGTCAAATACAATTCGCAAATTTAATTATACTAATTGATGTATATTTAAACTAACATAAATAATAGATTAATTTAAACCAAATTAAGCTCGCAAGCGCACGAATCAATTGTAGTAATATATGCAAATACGAGGTCGATCCCACAGGGATTGCTTTAACTCCAATTTAACCGATTAATCACGCTAAACTTAATTAAACAAACAAATGATAGATTGAATTGAATAATTGAGTAATTGATTAAAACTAAAATTAATAAGAAAAATAAAAGACAATTAATTAAAATCAACACACACCACAAGAAAGCCTAAGGTTATGAATCCACCAATAACAATCATATTTACTTTTCCTAGAGCCAACTACCATCCAATTACCATGCCAATGTTAAAGGTTGTTCTTTCTAATGTATGAATTAATCCGTGGTCAGACATCAACTCTTGTATCTCTACATGATAATTATATCTTATTGGTTAGGCATACAATTAAACACATAAAACCCCATTAAGCGTAGAAGAATCATGCCAACCAAGTAGGACTAGCTTGATATTGGCCATCCTCACTAGTTTGTCTACTCTTCTTGATCTTAGTTCCAATAATCCTAATTGATATTGGTCATCCTCATAGATTTATCTAAATCTCTAGATGTAAAATTCCTAAAGGTGATCAGTCATTAGAAACTCGAACCTAGAATAAAATACCCACAAAGATTAAAAAATATAACATGGCATATAATCGGATAATAATTAACAAAGTACTTTGCAAATATTCATGTCATGGCTTCATCATAAACCTTAGAAAATAACTTAGTTACACATAGAAATAAAAATAAAAGAAAGATAGAACCCATAATCCATGGCAAAACACGTCCCTAAGCTCTTCTTCACTAATTGCGGAGATGGTGAATGGTAGTATGGTGCGGTGGTATGGGTTATGCGAGGGTGGATGGATGGATCGGTATCTTAGGGACCTTATTTATACTAGAAAACCCTAAAAAGTTTGGGAGAAAGTCTCCTAAAATAAAACAAACTCCTAAACAGTTAATGACACAAACTAGGAAAAAATCCTTATTGGCTTGGGAAACACGTCATCTGTCTTGCATGCCAGTTTTGGGGTCGATTTATCTTCTGGAAAATTCTGTAAAAATATGGGAAACGTAGCTCTCTTATATTTCCAAGCATATATTGCACGCCACTAGGAACAATCCGGAAAACCTTCAAATCTCTATTCTCCCACAGCTACGCAATTCTGACGGGAAAACAACTTCTGCAGAATTGATTTGTAAAACTGGAATGAATGGCTCCATGGAAAATTATGAAATTCGGACACAACGATCTTCAACCTCTTAGCTTCCTTCTCCAATTGGCCTTACATCAAAATTCCTCTGGAAAGTCAAATTATCACCAAAAGCGTTCTAAGTGCACATAATGGCTGAAATTGAGAAAAGGAAAGTAATAAGGCTCTTTTATAATCAATTCCTTAACAAAACTTAGGGATAGTTCATATGAAAATATGATAAATAATGCACCTATCAATAATGCAATCTTTTAAGAACAAAACTAATTTAAACTATTTTTTATGAAAACACAGTGGGCCCTAACCTCCCTTCACACTCCTAATTGCCACCACCACCCGCCAATCATCATCGACCTGGACCCTAAACACACCCAAGCTCGCCTATCGATCCCAGCCACGATGCTGCAGCTCCTCATCGCCTACCATCGCAGCCATCTGGCTACCTTCCACCCTAACAACATGCAACAGTCTCCTAACCAACCTTTCTTCTCCACCTCCTCCCCAAATCAATTAAACCAAGAAGAAGATGGAAAAGAACCGATAAACCTTATGGGCAGATAGATTTGGTGGCTAAATTACAGAGCCAAGCTATTACTATCAGAATCAAAAGAGAGAATAATCCAAAAAATCTTTTGAACAAATTCAAAGATAGAAGAAATCGAAATTCGAATTGGAAGAAAGACAACAACCAAGTTTCGGTCACCATCTACACCAATACAGTCAACGAGAAAACCACCATCCCCAGCTGACCTGATTAGGTCTTAAAATCCTGCTTTTCTTTAAGTTCTAGATATACTTTGACAGCATCATGAAGAGTAGCGAGTGTGGGAACATAATTTTTTGGGACCATGACACGTGACACCTTGGGTGGCAAGAAGGATCAAAATGCCCATGACCATAACAGGTTAATCTTATGGGCATCTTAGTAGATCAGATTAGTTAACCGAATTAGCCTTAGTCAGATTTGACTAGTCCTAGTCATATCATAATAGCCTTAATCATATCAAACTAGTCAAAAGAAATCAAAATACCAAGTGAACTCAGACATCTGTAATCAAGCTGACTAGGTTTAAGTCCATTAAACATATTAATTGTCTTCCAAGTGAAGAACACCTAATTCAAGTCAAATTAGGGTATTTTGGAGTTAGACAACGTAATCATGATCATAGGAAGATTGGATATCTTATCATAAATTCCTCCTAGATAGTCTCTCGATTTAATTGTGATTACT